TCCCTGCCCCAGATTCTGAGTCTGTAAGGATAAAGTCTTCTTTACTAAAAGCATCAAAGGTACAACTTTTTCTGGTGGACTAGCGCTGAATGCATCTAACGCGTGGAATCAGTGATGTATTTATTCTGAAAAACGTCACTATACACAGATCATGCTTTTACTCTTTTATTGCAGGACAGAAGATTACAAAATGACGTGACGTCAGTATTTTGAAATCGAATGGACATGTGAGGCAAAGTTTGTTGGAGTTTCTCAGAATAAGCATAGCATCATTGATTCCAAGGTACAGAATCGTATTTTAAAAAGCATATGCTTTCTAATTGCAGGGAAGATTATTGCAATATGATTTATATGAATATTGGCTGTGTGTATTCATAAAACCTACATAGCCGTATAATATCGAGACAGATATTCCTGTAGCGGAAACTACGTTTAAATTTATAATATTTAAATATAATTTCCTCTTCAGGACACAAGCTAGAATGTAACTGAGATTCATGGAAATCCACAGAAAACTATGCTCAGAAAATACCTGAACGCAACATAAAATGGGTTTCTTTTAAATAGTGTTATTTTAACAGAAGTTTTTTTATAGGAAATGAAGCCAGCAAATTTTGTAAACTTAAAAATCCCACTCCATATTACCCGTTCATATAAAAAAATTACAATGCAGTTCAACTAGTCTTAATTTTTAAAAAGTTCCAGTCGTAGATTCCAAGTCGAACAGAAAGGTAGCAAAGTGGGAAAAGAAAAGAACTCGTACACGTAAGCCGTGGGGTTTACTTCGGATTCTGCCAGATGACCTTTCTTATCTATTTGTTGCCATTTCCACTTGAATTATTTAAGTAGTGACAAATAATGTTCGACTCTGCAGGTTAGAAGCTATTGCATATTGTGCAAAATGTGAAGTGAAGCGTTAATAAAAAACTATGCTTTTGTAAACCGCAACCTTAAATATCTGCAAACACAAGAAGCGATCTTCCAAAAAAGTGCGGGCCGTGTGAACGTTGCTGGTTTCCCCCCATTGTAAAAAATAAATTGTGAACAATAGTCTAGTTCTTAACATTGACAATAAGTTTGTTACAGCGCTACCTGTCCCAAACTCTGTTGTGTTCTACTTTAGAACATACGTGTGGCTAGGAAATATTCGTAAGGGGAAAACTGTAGCTTCTGCTATTAAACTGATAATCATCTGTAAATAAGACCCTTAAAGGGGAAGTATATAATCCAGGTAATACCTTAATAGAAATATCTGTTAAAGGTTTTTTTTTATTGAATAAAACCAAACTACACTTTACAAATTACCAGTATTAAAAAAGACAGACTTTTCAGCCTCCCTCATTGTTAGCACTATATGTAACATGTTGCTGTGCGCAGTATCTATCTATCTATCTATCTATCTATCTATCTATCTATCTATCTA